TTAGCACAGAAGAGTGCAAGGTTTAACACTGCTCCATTACACAAATCCCAGGCCCATAATGCTTTTGTCAACCTGCTTATAAAATAGATAGGGCAATTGCCAACACAGTAGATCAAAGGATTAAATATTTAATCTTTTAGAGGCTTCGCTCCTTAGGATCTACAGTCAAATGATAAAGTCACTTTTGCTTTGAATGGCGAGTTCCTTAATCGTGAGTGTCAGGAGATGCAGTCTGGAGAACAGATGAGAAATAAGAGTTAGGTGTAAAACAAGGGCATGCTTAATATATGTAAGCTTGATTAAGGTAGCTCACGGAAGCAAGGCAGGGGACAGCTTTGCTTCTCTCCGTGATACATGAAGATGAAATTAAAAGCCAATTATATACAGGTCATGAATTACTTGCCCAGCAAGGACAAAAACAAAAGTAAAAGGCTATGTACTCTCTTGGTATCTCTGCTTTTCTGATAAACCCTGTTTTGTTATACAGATCTAGTGATAAAAGAATGTCTCAAAAGGCTACTTAATGCCTGTTCTACAGCCTTTACATTTTTGTGTGAATGTTGTGTTCCAATAGGAACACATACAAGATTAACATTTTTATTTTTAATATTTGCATAACAAAGCTGTTTAGTTCTTGTATTTTCCATGGTAAAGTATGCTCCTTTGGAATGAGAGGAGAAAACTAAGTGGGAAAAAATAGTGAGGGGTGTAGGAATTTACATACCAAAATGCACCTGAACCCTCTGCTGAAGTATCTGTAGTTGTTGGAATGGGCTGCAGTTGCGTCGGGGCAGGGACGGGTGTGAGGGTGTAAGCAGAGTAAGTACAGTGAGAGCTTGTTTCCACACTGCTTTGTGCCTTATAGTGGGTGGTAATACTAAAGCCTATGGAAATGAGAAATAAATTCCTTAGGTTAACAGGAGTAGAAGGATCTTCAACTGTCTGGTGAACTGATCCTGCTTACAGCTGGGTTGTGATGGATGCATGTACTCACTTCTTCATTCCTCTAGGGAGATAAAATAACATACATAAAAAATTCTAACCCTGTAACATTCTTGAAACCTAATCTACCTGAGGAGAGAAGCTCTTCTGGTCAGGATATACTCATTAGCATTTAGCTAACTAAGTAAATTTACGAAAACTTGAAAAAAAGTGAAAAACAAAAGCAGAGCTAATTAAATGACATCTCTATTGGCATTGAGTAGTTCCAGTCTGCACATGGGCAGATGTTATGAGAGTCTACCAAACCACTGCTGAGAATCAGTTCAGTTCCTGAAAATTTCCATCTCATTAAATTTCTATGTATGGAAACCAATCTTCACTGTAGATAATAATTTTATTAACACAGCTATTAGCACTACAGACTCTGACAGGGAAAGCGTGGTCTTAAAGATCATTTTCTAAAAATAAGCAAATTTACATACATTATAATAAACTCATAACTAACTCCTCTTAAACATGAGAAAAAGGAAAAAAGGACCCCAAAATAAAATAATCAGAATGAAATAAAGAAATAAAAGATCTCACCAGAAAAAGCCCAAGCATATTAGGATGGCAGTGAGATCTTCATGCAACTCATTACGAACTGCAAAAGTTTAATGAGATTTAGTACAAATAATCTGTAGCTCAATACTATATCCTGTAGGTACATTATTCTTCTTCACCATTCTTCTGAATTCTTTATATGTATTTCTCCCATATTAAAAAAATAAAAAAAAAATCAGTATCCAATAAGGCATGATAAATAATGTCTTCAGGTAATTGATCGTAAAGCCTTGATATGAATAGTTCCCATGCTGTCAGACATTATCAATACAAACAATTCTGCAAATAATAATTATGAATATAACCACAGAGATTGGAATATTTCATAAGTAAAGAAAAAGGATTTCTTTCCCATAGAATTCAATCTGATCTGAAGGTAATGATGAAAAGCAACCCAAAATGGAATATCTGCCTTCTCAGAACCCGATTCAAAGCACACAGAAATGAACAGGAGTTTTGTTTTCAGGTGGCTTTGCCTGAGAACTGTCAAAACCAGAAAAGTGCTGAATGAATTTATACTTCCTTTGCTTCCATTCAGGAAAACATGGTGGCACAGAATGGCTCTTCCCTTTCCATCATGCACATACTTCCTTAGTGACTAAAGTTGTATTCCCTACTGCTAGGCAGGAGGTGCATCGCTCTTTAGACTCCCAAGCAAAATGCTTTAGGGTTGGTTTTTTTGTTTGTTTTGGTGGCCTTTTTTTTGGGCAGAAAATCAAAACATTAGTGTGGAACAAAAAAGTTTGGTGGGAGCAAATTTCAAGCAGTAGACTGAGTGGTATAGAAAATAGATCTGGGTAAGCAATGAATGCAGGTGGACAATCTGGGGAGACAAGAGATCATAATAAAAAAAGAAAGTGATATGACCCAATTAGTCTCAAGACAGGAAGAGCAGGTAAGTCTCTGTATATTGAATTACCTTCATATTTCCTTTATTCCCCTGCTCCCCTCAAAGGATTCAAATATGGGTCCAGTCAAGCAAGCCAGGTGTTAGAGTAGGACCTAGGACTTGCACACATTTTTGTATTTGTAGAGGAATGCCTTTCAAATGTGTGCTTTTACATTTTCAATGTAATATGGAGGTTTTCTACTTTAAAATTTCGATGTGTATCTGTTTTGTGTATGTACTGATCAATTAAAAAAGTATGGTTAGCAAATGCATTTCCCATTTATTCTCATTTGCTTAACACCTTATAGCCATGCATTTTAGTTATAAAACAATGGTCACATAGTCTGATTATAGGTGTTGACATTTGTTGTTATTGAAACTCAAGACCTCCACAAACAAGCAGCACACACGAGGGACAGCAAGAGAAAATAGAAGCTGAAAACAAGCATAATTTGGTTTTTTTCCATTCCGACTAAAATGAATATTGCTTTTTCTTTTCCTAAGAAATTCTAGAAATCAAAAGTTAATAGCTTAGAAGGTATTCTTTTATGATGTGTAAGAAATACAGTGAAATTACTCTATATGTTTGTTTATACCTATATATACACACATGCACATATGCATGCACACACAAACACAGAAACTCCCAAATATATATTCACATGGTGTTAACAACCTAGACTAAATAAAAAGCAAGGAAATACAAAATTCAAGCTGTTTGCTTTGCCTTATCTATTTCCATTATGCATGGTAAATATTGCAGATCATATGGTCTATAAAATCACATGCTGTTTGGAGGCTTCTTCAGAGCTTGGCCACAACAGGGGATTGTAAGGATAGATGCAGTAGCGACTCTGAATGTTCAGACTTTTTTATTTAGTTGGACTCTTAATGACATATGAATCTATTTTTTGCATTTGGAGCTTCTTTACTTTTGGGGGTTTTTTTATTAAATTCTCCCTCCCCCCCCCAAAAAAGCCAACCCAAAATATGTTGAGGGAGGGCAGCATATGGAAATACAAAGCACTAGTGAGCAATAGTGGATGATTAGATGAAGGGGTTTGATATTTCTCATTGCTGGGAACTGTTGCCACCTCGGAGTCTGTGCCCCAGCATGCACCTCTGAGTTTTCTGAAGCCCCAGGGAGATGCAAGCTTGTTCATATTAGCATTTAGGCTTTAACTGACTATCCGAAATGTCATAAGAGAGCTTGTAAAATGAAAAACAACTTTTCAAAAAGCAAAGATACATAAAACTATCCCCTGAAATTCTGTATTTGTGTGTGTGTGCTTAACAGATGGATAACGATACGTAAGGCAGGACAAGAACTTTGTCTTTTGCCTAATGGTTACTTAATACTCCCAAATCAAAACAACCAGTCACCTTTTCTGTCTAAGATGTAATTGTCTATATACCTAGAAAATAGTTGGGTATCTTTGCAGTAATACAGTTTTCAATATTTAAGAGTCAATTTTGATTTAAAGCAAGAAGTTATTGTAATTTGTGATGAGTTAATTTAAGGCCAGCGTTTATATACAGGAGACCTGTTAAGAAAAGCAAGTTCATTTGACATGTTAAGCATGTTAGCATTCATGTTACTTTTTAAAGAATGTTCTATTTGATAATGGGACAGTAACATTTTTAGACAGATGTAGTAAGATTATGATGCAAAACGAGGAATCTCCTTTGGCCAGTTAATTACCTTATACTATTCTTTTCATTGTATGACCTTAAATTCAGATAAGATTAAAATTAGCACTGACTATTGCATCAAGATAGAATCATATATATTTTTGAGATGATTTGTAAATGGGATAAGTCCAGCTGCATCCATAGCAGAGACTGTAATACTGTGGGCAATCAGATGAGCTGTTCTGGCTACTGCTTGGGTTTAAATAAGAAACTCAGTCCTTTCCTGGTTTGTATCGTCTGCTCCCAGAAGCTGTGTGAGTCCTGGTGATTTTACTGTTTGTTTGATCATGCCCTGACGTATTTAAAACCAGAGCCAGTTTGCAAAGACACCACTGATAGTAAATTTACATTTTTACCTGGGTTCATTGACTCAATCAGGCTATCTCCTAAGGATATGTGAAATTCAACCTGAAGAACTGAGATTCCATCTCTGCAGCAACTAGGAGGGTTCAGCTAATATTTGCACTATATATTAAATGGTAGTGATGATTGCTAAATTAACATGAGGGTTTTGCTTTGTGTTTTGGGTTCCTGTACATCTCTTTAAAAAGCTAGATTTCATAACTTGTTTCCAACCTGCACCTATGAGTTTAGACAGAGAACAGTATCATCTTCAGGTGGATGCACATCAGTCATCACTAGTCCATCATGTAAAAAGTGCCTTTCTTCGTGCTGGTTGTTAATTGCACAATCAGCCAGTTTCCATAAAATGCAAATTTGTAACACATTAATATGCTATGTTCAACAAAAGATTAAAAAGATTTATTAAAATTATGCCTACATAATTTTAGAAAAGAAAAAAAAAAGAGATCATAGTCTTATGGAACAGTGAAAATCAGAAGAGTTCCCAATATATGTGAATAAGGCTGGCAATCTCAAGAGAGGGTTTTTTAATTAAAATTCTATTTTATTTTAATGAATCAATACTAAAGGCTCCTACGATTACAGTTCTTTAATCTTATGGATTACAGGAAAAGGAGACATCTGTTTTCTACAGCTGAATTTAACTTATCATTACTGCACATGTTTTTAAAAATTTCTCTGGTTCCCCCTCGATCCACAAAACTTCTATTAGTTGTAAAAATATTGAAGCCCCCATACATAAATTAGAAAATAGTTTTTCTCCATTTTATGCGAACATTCTCTTCTTTTGCTAGTAAAAATATCTGCATATTCAATTTTCTTCTGAACTTTCCAGCATTGCACAGCTGAACTCAACAAAGGGATTTTTCACTGAGTTAGTTTCACTGACTTCAAAAGCGTTATGTCAAAGTGTGCATCGAGTCCTTCAGAAATACCTAAGCAGAGAAAACCCTTATTTCAGTGCTGTTTTGATGCTGAAAGTAACGAATTCTATTCCTACGGCACTATTCACTCCTGATGACGGGATGGTGATAACGCCCCTGACTGCACGCTCGACTCCGATAGTGCAGGAGGATTGCCATAGTGCCAGGGTGGGAAAAAAACTGCTAGAATTTGAGATGGTGCAAAGCTGTTTATACTGCCTGCTGCGCATTCTGTCCACATTTCCTTTGCTCCTGACATTCTCCTAACTTCTTGTTAGGAGAGGAATGCCTAGGAAGTAGTAGAATTCATTTTTCTAAGATTTTATCTGGCTGAAGTGGGTTTCTCTGAACTTTGGTATTTTTGGTATTTCAAATATTTCAGCAAATGCGAAACGAAAGGCTATATTCCAGCTTGCTGCCTATAGGCAAACCACTACTACTAGTTCACAATTCAGCTCCGCAGCCTTCATGCAAATCTTGGAAAAGCTGTCCTTCAAAGTGTCAGTAGGTACCTGCAAAGCAAAGTTACATGTCCCGTTCAGAAGAACAGCGCTGGTTGTTCACTCAGAAAGTCTGAGAAGAAGGGTTTCTCTCTGCAGTAGTTTCCTGCATTTCATCCATCAGAGGACTCATTAAGTCTTCTTGTCTGTGAGAATAAAAATGTCTGTAGTGGTATGAGATTAGAGATGAGTTATCCTAAAGATTAAAAGTCAGTGATGCTGATCATTGATGCCTCCTCTTAAATATATAAGCGCAGCAGATGCAGCTTAAAAGGAAAGTGTGGCAACATGTTTACTGATGGTTTTGCATTAGCACAATCATGGAGAAGGCTGGAGGCTCAGCTGGCAATCCCAGCTCTGGTTCTGGATGGCTGGTAGAGAGGACAAAGTGCTCACTAGGACTGTTATTGTACTTGTTGCCTATGTTCCAGTTTCTGATAATTCCACTTATGATAAGATTGTAGCATCTGCTCAGCCTTTATTAAATTAATAAAAGCCTGTTCTTGCTTTGATGGTGCCACTAGAAACAAAGATCATCTTACCGTCCTTTGGAAAGTGACATGAATCACATCACTTGAAGATGTAGTACAATGTACCAGATGTAAAAGACAGCAATTTGCTCGTGTGTAAGAGCAGGAGAGCAGCAGTCAGTTTTCTGAGTTCTGCTCCTATTTTAGAATGGCGTCTTATAAAATGAAAGGGAAGCTTCTTGCAAAAGAGGTACTGAAAAGAAAAAAGGATGGTGGGTATTTCTGTTAGTTTTTGCTGAAAATTTGAGGTCCAGTAAAATCCCCTGAGCACTGCTGTGTGCTCCAGCACAGCTCATCCGTAGAAAACCTTTTGAGTAGTGCTTTGATCTTGAGCAGCATTTGTCCTTAATGGGGAGCAAGAAGAACAACACTTACCTTGCAAACAATTTTACACATGCAAATTGTGTAAGAAATCTGGGGGTAGAGATGATGACTTTGAAACATTATCCTGCTAAGGATGCCTTTTAGCAAGTCCCGATCAAACTCTAAATTACTTCTAATCTCCTCACTCACAGGAATGGAATATACTTCAAGGGAAGAAAATAGGCAGATTTAAAAGAAAAAAAACCAGCCATTTTTTTAAAAAGGCCTAAATCTTGTTGTCTGCAAGTGTGTAGCAAATGAGATTAATACTGCATTTTTAACGAATGTTTATGGAGGTTGTTCCAAATTTTACCCAGATATACCCAGTGTCTGGACAGTACAGACACTGCAAAAACATGTAAGTGCACACAGATTACACAATCTAAGAATAGCATTGATTATTTTTTTCTCCCTCATTATTAGTATGTTCTAATTGCTCCTAGAATAAGGAGGGTGCAGTTCATGTATCCTGGCTGTTCTAGCAGTGATGACAAACACTTTCAAAGATAAGCTATTTTTGAGTACTAATACTTGGACTTTGCTGAAGGTGAACCAAATGTGACATTTGGTGGGTTTGCTCCAGCTGGAGCCCCAGCTTTGGACTAGCACATCTTTCAAAGGTAAGGGGATTTTGTTCGTATTTGGCAACACGTTGTTTCAGGCACGGCACAGACCTGGAACCGGGAGGCGGTGCGCTCAGCAGTCGGTGATTTGATGCCACCCATTCTTTCAGAAATGCAATTCATATGTTGTTTATGTACAACACCTCATGGATACTCCATGATGGAAACTACTTCCTCTACATCAAAAAGTGGCGCTTTTTTTGCTGTTTTGGCTGCCCATTTGATTAGGTGTCGTACCTGCTCTAAAAACTGGCTCCAGCCGCTGGAGGGTCATAGTGGGTTGTCGCTGAGAGAAGGAAACAGACGGTGCAATCGATCTTCGTGACTCCTGATGCACATGACTACATTTCTCCCTGCCTAAGTGGCGCATACAAGGTGATTAAATAATCAGCACTTTTACCCTGGAGGAATATAAATCCCTGAAGCAGCCACTCAGAACACCATGCTCTGGTCTCTTGAAGCAGAAGAGGCAAGAGGCAGCAGTGCTTGTTGCCAAGATGAAACACAAAATGAATTCTCAGTCCCTGTGTGGGCTAACGTCTTTCAACTCGTTTATTTGTTTGTCTCAATTATGGCTTAATCAAAAAACGCTTATTTTTCTTTTGGTATTAAATGAAATCGACACAGCAGTATTTCTTAAAATGGAATATTGTATATCCCCTAGTTTAGTAGGGAAAAAATGGACAGAAAATGCCCTTATCCAAGATGGTTTCACTGGTACGTTTAGCATCACCCTTTAAAATTTACCCAGAGCACGTTATAAACTTTTAAACCATTTGTAAAAACTAATCAGGCAGAACTTCAAAACATAAATTGATTTTGAACACACATGGATCAAACTGCTTTTAGTAGGAACATACTGGGCAATAAAAGCAAATGCATTTTACACGTTGCTGTACGTACGTAAGTATTTGTAATGTCTCCTATAATATTATTATTGATTACAAACCACAGACAGTGTTAAACTGACTTCACTGATGGTCATTACTCTGCAGAAAATACAGCTCACTTGTACGTGCGGGTAATACGGAAATCACACTTACGTCTTCTCAAAAACAGACAATCCTGTCAGTTTTATTTAAGAAGAATTAACCCTTTTATCTGGGTCTCCTCACTGCTCAAAGCTGTAAGTTTCATACTGGTGATATAAAAATCCATTTTTAAAAGGAGTTAAAATAATTATTTTGGAATAACCTAGCTTGGGGGAAAACAGTGTTAAAACGTATGTCTTTCTAGTGTTCTACAGAGATTTCTTTTTAAAATTTAAAGTGATTTAAAAGAAACGTAACAACAGTCATATAATTGTCTTATTTGTGTAGTCTGAACTACTCCATAAAATTAGCAGTTGAGGGAAGATGGAAACAAAAGTGGGGTTTTCAGCTTACAATTATTGTATTGTTTCAACTGAGCACTTTTAGAAGTGAGCACTTGGGAATCTGGTTGAGTTATAGCTGTGCTTCAGGGCTGCTGTACAAATAGCATGCTACCAGAAACTCATATATATTACATGTTATGTTTTTACTTTAGTATGCACCTCTTAAACTGAACCACAAGTGGGATAAGAAAGTTTTTAATCTTTCCCATATTTTGGCTAACGGGCAATTCTTGTCATCTCGTGGCCTCTGTATCCTTTTGGTGCTTGCTGATGTGGAGGAAGCATTTGGGGTAAGACCATCCTCCACAGACAAGAAGGTACGACAGAAACATCCTGAAAATATAGCAATATAGCCATTACTTTTAAAAAACAAATTCCCTGTATTTTTCTGCATTGGGACTATTGGTATTTGATAGTGAAATGATTAACATTATAATACATTTTGAACTTTAGAATACTTCTGTTTCCCCCAGGCAGAGAAACTGTTCTGTGGCTTTGCGTCCTCATTTTCCTATGTTATCTTTGTAATTTGTTGATGTTTGTTTATTATACAAAGAAAATGATGGCAGAATGTGTAACTAAAAATAGAAGTTTCTGAGAACTCCAGTCAAAACATTGTGAGAAAGCTAATACCAAGATAAATCAATTACAGACTTTCTCCTCTGGATCTTTCCCTCTCTCTCGTGGATTAAGATCTGCTACCTGTGAAGAGAAGCCTCAGTTTGCAATCCTGTGCTGGGGGAAAGCAGGATTACCCTTCCCACCTGGCATTGCAGGTAGCCAGTTTTTTTTTTTTTTTTTTTCCCCAAAGGTAGGTTTGCATGAATACAGCAGATTTTGCATGATTTTGTCTTGCAGCAGTGGCACTTCGCTGACAAGCCAGTCTCTGGGGACAGTAGTCACAGGTGGGAAGCTCCTACAATGGCCCTGAAAGCTTCATCTTTTGGAGGTTAGTCCTTCCAGTTCTGCATCACTAAATCTATTCATCACTAATAGGCCACATCTCCCTTTTAGGAATTTGCATGTATTTATATGTGTGATGAAATATGTGCAAAAAGCTCCCGTGTCAAATACATCATGGAGGTATTTGACGGGGTAGGTAGAGGAAAGAAATATATTCGATTACAATATTTGGAATAAAGGGGGAAGAGCGATTTCTTTTTTGTTTTCTTCTTTGGACTTTGGGATTTTACGTGCATACATCCTGTGGTACAATCATCTGTTTGCTTCTTTTGCCATCAGTTAAATCATTAGCAATATGTTTTAATCTCTCTGTTGCTCATGGATGCTTTTCTAGTGTCTCTCATTGTCCCAGGGTATTGCGAGGACTGTTAGAAATACAAGTTCCGTTTGGATTTTGTATGCTGCTTTGCGTGTTTGGTTGAAAGACTCAGAAGTCAAGTGTTCTTTAGTCAGACTGCACCAGCCTTTCCAACTCATCCGGCTCATGCAGGAAAAAAAAACTTGTGAAAATTAAACATCTCTAAGGTAAAATCCAAGGCAGTAATTTTTCAACACGTTTCGGGAAACTGGTCCCTAAATAGATCAATTATGGAGGTTAATAACTTTAGATGTGTAAGTTTAATTCAGTAAATAGTTGCAGTCAAAATGCTTATCCTTTGGTTAAAAAATTGAGTAATTTAGAATGTAGAAAAGGTTAACTATTGAACAGTGGAGATTTTATTATTTAATTGGTTAAGATGTTTTGGGTTCTTTATTTCTATTAGCAGAAAAAATAGTGTTATTCTTTGGCTCAAAAAAATTTATTTTTTCCTTTCTGGTCTGTCAGAAAACGAAGGAAAATGTGATTGCCTGACTTTACTCGGGAGGTAAGAGACTATTTTATTCCTATTTATTCCCTGATCAGTTGTCTTTGGCTGAGAGTGCTCAACACAGGTCCTAGCTATCCCCTAGAATCTCACAGTGTGGACATTGTTCATTGGAAATTGGCTGATACCACCAAACTAACTTCCAAGCCAGCAGAAAGAATTTATCAGGTCTAATCACATGCTCATTTATGTAGACATTTCTCCTGTTTCAGTGCTTACCAAAAAGTGAATGGCTCCATCAGTCTAGTCAATACCATAATCCCCTGTAAGGAAATACAGCTTTAGAAAAGAATCTCTTTGTCTTTAGCATGTATTTATTTTTCCCCTTTGTGACAGTGAGCCATAGATCATTAGTAGCACTGAAGTCAATAAAACTAGTGTTAAGTCCAGCATAACTAAGAGGGTTTCTTTATCTAATATTGTAACATTATAAAAGTCTCTTTATTCTACAGAGCTCTTTTAAAGCCACTACTTTACTGGCAAGCAAAGACGTTTCTTTTATTTGATGAGTTGTCCTGTTAAATCATGGCATATGAGAAAAATATATTTTATAGAAAGGAGTGTTAGTGAAGTCTGAAATTTGGCAAAACCTTCTTACAGACCTTATTAATGCATATTAAGAACTCAAGATTAAGGATATGTTTGGTGTATTTTTGTAACTTATTAGTCAAGAAAGAATTATTTGCTGAGAATAAAGGGTAAAATTACTTTGTTGCTAGATACATCTTGTCAGCTCTTACTATTTCCTATTTACAATGGGTTTATACCAGTCTGCTAACATACTCTTCCTGCAAATTCACTTTGGAACTACGTGTCAGACTAGGCTGTTCCAGGTAAAAGAACATCAGGCAGTTCTATCTTTTTTGTTCTTTATTCTTACAATGAAGAAGTAAAGTATAGTGAGTGCTCATTATTTACAGAATAGATTTGTAATTATTTTTTTGGAGGTCATCACTAAAACAGAGTTATATTACTACTTCCATTGGGGGGTGTTAGAATTTTT